ATAAACCTTAGGAAATTAGAAGTAAATGAAAGTTTTTATAATTTAAATTTTTATAAAGGATGATATATGGCAGGGGTGTCAAACTCACATCATCATGGCGGTGTTACCTGATGTATTGGGACTTTTCCCCCTTCGCTAAGCCAGCTGTGGGTGTGGCCAGCATGTGACACATCTGGCCCATAGGCCAGGAGTTTGACAGCCCTGATGTATGGGAAGAATGTATCATTTTTTTATTGAAATATTGGAGAAGGTGTTAAGTTACTGAATTTATTCATTGTTGCCTGGAGGTAAGGGGAAATCATCTTTTATATATTTTTTCCTTATTTTTTCTATCGCTTTGCACTTATCTTTTTCTTTCCTTTGTTTTTTTATATTTTTATTAGTTCATATCAATATTTTTTTATTTATTTATTTATTTATTTATTTATTTATTTATTTATTTATTTATTAATTTATTTTTTAAACTTGTATGCCGCCCTATCTCCGAAGGACTCAGGGCAGCTCACAACAATAAAAACAAGCAAAATCAATGTTAAAAATACCCAATAAGATTATAAAAAGACCATTAAAATCCCCTTTAAAACCCCTTCAGTCCAAACCAGCCAGGCGAAATAACCACATTTTAAGGTCACAGCGGAAAGAGCGAAGGTTAGGGGCCACCCAGAGCTCCAGGGGGAGCTAATTCCACAGGGTAGGTGCACCCACAGAGAAGGCCCACTCCCTAGGGGTCGCCAGCCAACATTGTCTGGCCGACGGCACTCCAAGGAGGCCCTCCCTGTGAGAACGCACTGGGCAATGGGGAGCTGTCGCTGGCCGCAGATGGTCCACCAAATACCCTGGGCCTAAGCCATGTAGGGCTTTATAGGTAATTACCAGCACCTTGAATCTCACCCAGAGGGCAACCAGTAGCCAATGCAGGTCCCACAGGAGAGGTGTAACATGAGAGTGTCGGGACACTCCCATCACTACCCGCGCGGCCGCATTCTGCATCAGCTGAAGCCTCCGAGTGGTCTTCAGGGGCAGCCCCATGTAGAGAGCATTGCAGTAGTCGATCCGATTTTATCTTTGTATTAATAAAAATAAAAAAATTATTACAAAAATGACAATGTTTTTATCTATAGAATTAAAGATTGTGTTGTTAATAAAATTGCCCCCAGCTGAGAGTTCAGCAAACGAAGACATTTTCCCTTTAAAGACTTTAGAACAGGTGGAAGGCCTTAGGCTACCAGAGAGCCAGGATTTAAGATGCAAAGAAGTAACAGCTGTTTTATCCATCCTATTATTCTGTGCTTTCAGGTTGGGTCTATAACAGTGTTGGCTAACCTTTTCCGGACCAAATGCCCAAAGCGTGCGCATACCGAACCCCCAAAATGCAATGTGCGTGTGGCCCTGTGTATGCACCCCCCCCCGCATGCGCCTCCCACATGCGCATGTGCTCACCATTTGCACCTTGTGCATGCGCACCCTGGTGCACCACACCCACCACATGCACCCCCCATGCATGCGCAGCAGAGACCTGAAGACCAGCTGGCTGGCGGGAGGCGCATGTGCATGCGCAGCAGAGCCAAGCTGGGGCGACGGCTCGCATGCCCACAGAGAGGGTGCTGGGTGCCACCTCTGGCATATGTGCCATAGGTTCCCCATCACGAGTCTGTAATATAACTTTCTGCATTATAGGTAGTTCTTTTTTCGGATTTTTTAAATACTGAATTCCCTCTCTGAGAAGATCTTGGGACTGTCTCTTTGAATGCTATTACTGGGCATTGAGAGTCTGATTGATAGTTTGGTAGTGTTAGATTTGTTTACAAAAATGATTCACTTTGTTTCAGGTGAGGATCTTCAGTCTGCACCAGAAACCACCAAATTGTTGATCGATAATGCATTTCAGCAGAAAAGTATGGCTAATCATCTGAATTTCAGATAGAGAAGTGCAATTACAGCATGTATTTGGAAAGCCTTGTCCCAATTACTGAATATTAAGATCCATTTATTCTCTGCTCCTCATAATCTTTCTACTTTAGATCAATGCTTCATGTCAACTATCTGCAGAACAAATTGGCCTAACTCTGGTTATATTTGTTTTTAACAAGTTAGTTCATTCTTCTACTGACATATCATCATTTCAGGTTTTTTATTACTTTTATCCTCACTGCTTAACCAAGGCTACCCCTTCTGTCCTAAAGGTTTTAAATATTTATAAGAGATGCAGGTAGCACAACTACTTTTCAAAGTGCAGCTAGAATTTGCCAAGACTTCTTACAAGTCTGCTGCTGATCATCATTAAAAGGAAAGTCCTATTGTTTGTTGGGATTGTCAAACTTTCCATTAATTTTTTTTTGTTCTCCTTGTTCCCGTCCAAGAAATTGGATTTGAAGTTTATTAGTCCCTTTTCTGTAGAGAGTTGGATTAGCCCAGTGGCATTTTGCTTGCTATATATATATATGACTTAACTTTATATCATTTGGTGTTATTTAAAATAAATGTTTATTTTATTAGGGAATATCATCCCATCCTCCTCACTTAATTTCTCAGTTCTAATCCACAACCTCAGTGGCTGTGGTTTCCGACGTCCCGATATAGTCAGTTGACGCCATCACTGACTATTGGGGGCGAATCATTGGCCCCCACGGAGAGGGCTCGCAACTTGGGCGTCCTCCTGGATTCACGGCTGTCTTTAGAAGAGCACTTGACGGCCGTGACCGGGAGGATTTTTCATCAGGTTCGCCTGATTCGCCAGTTGCGTCCCTTTCTGGATCGGGACTCGTTACGCACGGTCACTCATGCCCTTGTCACCTCCCGCTTGGACTATTGCAATGCTCTCTACATGGGGCTCCCCTTGAGGAGCACCCGGAGGCTCCAACTGGCGCAGAGTGCAGCCGCGCGGGTGGTAATGGGAGCAACATGGCGTTCCCATGTAACACCCCTCCTGCGCGAGCTGCACTGGCTCCCGGTGGTCTTCCGGGTGCGCTTCAAGGTTCTGGTTACCACCTTTAAAGCACTCCATGGCTTAGGACCCGGGTACTTGCGGGACCGCCTACTACCACCAATAGCCTCCCACCGGCCGGTACGCTCCCATAGAGAGGGGCTCCTCCGGGTGCCGTCAGCCAAACAATGCTGACTGGCGGCCCCCAGGGGGAGAGCCTTCTCTGTGGGGGCACCTACTATCTGGAACGAGCTCCCCGCAGAGATACGGAGGATCCCGGATCTGCGCACCTTCCGCCACGCCTTAAAGACCTTACTATTTCACCAGGCCGGCCTGGCCTAATTTTCCCTCTCTTTTATAAAAGATTTTTAAAATTTTAAATATCTTTTAGTATTTTATATATTCAATTTTAAATTGGTTTTAAAAGTTTGGGGTTTTAAATTTGTCGGGGCCAAAATTATTTAATTTGATTTTATTCTATTTTTAAATTTTGTATTGTATGTGTTTTTATTGTTTGGCTGTGCACCGCCCTGAGTTCTTCGGGAGTAGGGCGGTATAGAAATCTAATAAATAAATAAATAAATAAATAATCATAATATTATGGGGAGGAGTTTTTGGCAACTGGGAAAGATCTTGTACATACAATATTTTCATATTTGATTGAAGCTTTTTAGATTATATATGAGTGGAAACATGGTTACAAACAAGCATAAATGAGAAATTGAATAAGTAGTACCAGGTATTGTGTGGTGCTACATTTTCATTTACATTGTTGCAATATTATGTTTTTTTTAAAAAATTCAGCCTTGGGCCCTAATTACATAGACACATACTTCCACCCCCAATAATGTGTGTGTATGTGTATTTCAGACATAGATGCAAAATTTTAGATTATATAGAGAAAATTATATATTATAGTAAAGTAATTTTCTGTCTTCTTCTATTTGGACCAATTATAATCTTGTTTCAGGCTGAAGTAAAACACTGACATGGCATTAATTGTGCTTGTGGATCATCTCTGGTGGGCCTGGGGTGGGCATGGAGTATCCATCCTGGCCCTACTCAATGGCTTTCAGTTCCATGATCATGGTATCTTTCTGAGCCAGTTTAGGAGGTCGGGAAAGGGAGGTTGTGTTGTTCAGTCACTGTTGGTAGAAGGGGGAGAGGTCCAGCCCAAGGCTCCTGCTTTCTGGGGTGCCACAGAGCTCAACTTTCTGATTACTAATTAGGCCATGATTTCATGATCCTACCATTTCACTGTTGAAAGATCTGTGTTAATTGCCAATTGCAGGTGGGAAAAAAATGCGAAAGTGCCTTTGTGCAAGTGGAAAGAAAACAGTATATTAGTTTACCTGAATAAAGAAACTATTTATAGATAGTAGAAAAGTGGGAAAGTCCATTTGAAAGATAAAAAAGGTTTTGTAAAAATGGAAGACAAGCTAGTAACGCAGAGCCACATAATGTTTACCAAATAGAAAAGAAATGGCTGAGACTACTCAGAAAGAACAATATATGAGAGTGGGAATTAGTGGTTTATAACAAAATCTGAAATATATCTGCATTATTTTCTATAATTATCTGCATTTCTATTTTATCAGATTTGGTTTAAATGAATCTTTGCTTGAAGTAGTGGCTTGTGTACTAATTTGAATTGCTGTAATCTAGGAAGATTGATTGACTAGAGCCTTTGAAACAATTCCAGTTCTTCTATTGCTTTCCTGGTGTGCTTTAAACATTTTATAGAAGCACAGGATATAAAGTTTTATGAAAAATATGTGTTAAATATATTGCTGACTATCAATTCATATGCAGGGAATGATAAATAGCTCTCTTCCCTCTCATATTTTTCTTTAAATTACAAATTCATGCAGACCTGTCATAATTACATATGTCATTCAAAGATTTAAATGCTTTACATTCTTTGTATGTGACTTGATAAATGAACGTTAGTCTAGAGTAGGTGGGACAAAGCCGCTATTTCACGGTACAGTGCAAATAGATTTTGATTTATGTATTCATCTTTTGGTACTAAATGATTATTGATTGCATAAATAAGTAGGTAATTTTTCTCTTTCAGAATTTTGCAGAAAACACTATGAATGAGCTCCTTGGCTGGTATGGTTATGATAAGGTTGAATTAAAAGATGGAGAAGATATTGAATTCAGGAATTACTCTGCAGATGGGGAGAGCCGACAGCACATTTCTGTTCTGAAAGGTAATGGCATTTAAGGTTCATTTGTTCATGCTGAACAGGATTAGCCATAACAACTTTCCAAATTCACCTAGGTGGAATTCTACTTTAGAGTCTTAAAGATGGCCTCACATGTGTTCATGTTGGTGTCTTCTAGCACACAAAAGAAGGAGCAAAGGATAGTAATAAGGATCTGCAACACAACAGCAATTTTTCTTCCTCATATAACCAACTCCGAGACACTATAATTCCAGTGGGTAAAATCAGGAGAAAAAGCCAACACATCTCTCTTTTCTTCCTCAGAAGAAAAAAAAATCAGTTGTGCCTAAACTTTTACTAGAAACCTGCAACCTCATCTTTAAAAAAAAACCTTAACTTAGATCAATGTAGTGAAATTGTCCATGTCACAACACAGCAGTCAGAGGTCATTATCAGTTGAACACAGACTTTAGACGTAACAATCATATTCAGGTTTTCATCTGTAGATCAGAATCCTTTGCCTTCAGAATCCTTTTGCTTTGTCTTCTGTGCAGTAATACAATAGTTCGTAACCCCACATTTTGATCAGCTCATTGTCTCAATTTATTGCAGATTTCTATTCACATTTGGACTTGTCCATACTGGGGATGAAATATTACACAGTAATTCTTACTAACTTCTTTGATGTTATATTATATATTATTTTTATGAATAACTCAAGGCGGTGAATATACCTAATATTCCTTCCTCCTCCTGTTTTCCTCACAACAATAACCCTGTGAAGTGAATTGGGTCAAGACAGAGTTACTGGCCCAAAGTCATGCACTTCATTAAAACACAGTGTGGTTTGTGTAGTTTTGATTTAATGTAATGCATGAACCCACTTTTTGTATACTAGGATACTATCACATGTTCAATCAATTATATTTAAAACAACCCATGCCCTAATGCCATATGATAATCTAATGTGTATGGATATGAAACGTGTTAGTTGAGAAAGTATAATTAAATTGTTTACTAATGTTCTCCTTTTCAAGTTTAACATGGTTTGTTCTGAATTCAGACTATGAATAGCATTATGGTGCAGTTTTAATCATTCTGACAAAGTTCCAACCTTGAAATGACCTAATTCTTGCTCAATACTCAATGTGAAAGCCTTTTGGAAGAACGGAAAAGTTTCTAGTAACACCTCAAGTAAGGTCAGAATAAACCAGTTTGACCTGAAACAGTCCATGTTGCTAATAGTGTGATGGGTCAAGGAGGGCAGGGAAAAGAAGAAGAAATAATACTTGAAATTGACATACATAGGATATTAATTGGATTCAAGCATTGCATTAAGCCACAATATAATTTGTTTAGTTTTGGCTGAGCACTATTAGTGCATCTCTTTTTAATCCCATATTATCCTAACATCTTAAATTGTAGAAGTAGAATTGAATTGAATTTCCTTTGAATGTTAGTTTGGATATCTGGAATTTTGAGGGTGGTTATCTGGAAAAGTTTTAAGAAAGAAAACTGTTTTGTTCTTCTTAATTCTTTGTGTTTATTTTTTTATTTGAAATGCAAATGTTTACTTCTGGAAGAGATGGAGTGATTCATTCCCAATAACAGAATTCAGAGTTCAGAGTTGCATTTAATTATTAAATAATTTTTAGTGTGAGAGAAATGCATATCCCAATAATGGATAGAACAAGATAAAAAGTATTTTTTTGTTTTGTTTTGTTTTCTTCCATTTAATCATATCTGAATTATTGGAGATTTGTCCAGAGTTGTATCTGGACAAATCTCTGCAGGTTTCTTGGCAAGATTTTGAGAAGTGGTTTGCCATTGCCTCCTCCCTAGAGTTGAGGGAAAGTGACTGGGCTCAAGGTCTTCCAACTGGTTTTGTGCTTAAGGTGGGGTTAGAACTCAGTGTCCTAGTTTCTAGCCTAATGCCTTAAATAATTTTAGAATATTGTCTGTCATGAAATTAATTTCCTCTTTCTGACCCATTAAAAATGAAGTGTCAGTGGTAACTATTTTTGGAGATCTTTGGGGGCTGCAATTCAAGGCTTTTGTGGGTTGTATGTGACCCTGGGTCTTTAATCTGCAAACTTCTGTATATATTACATATCTAATATTAATAAGTCTAGTTTTCCCCCTTTAAAACAATAGCCACTAATGGAGGAAGAAGATCAGGCTCATGATAGGTAGAGAAGAAAGCTTATATTACTGCCATTTTTATTTTTTATTTGAACTACAGCAAGAGGGAGTTTTTTACTGTCTGCACATGTATAATTTCAATTATATTCCTGCTTTAATTATCATTGGCATCATCACCATCATTACCGAAAATCTAGCCTGGAAAGTCTTCCTTGATCTTGATTTATAGATTATTTATTGATGCAGTTTCATTGTAATTGGCTGCAGATTTTTTTTTTTTTAATTGTGGCTATATAATAGAATCAGGGAAGGGGAAGAAAATACTTCAGTCTCCAATAAATCCTTTGGAAGAGTTAATATAGATCACAATCTGTGATGCCATAACAGCATGCCGCCATTGTATTAGTTGATTTGTTCCTGTCCTTTAAATTGTGTTCCCAAACTGGTTCAATGTTTGTGCAACTGTAATGCTATGGGTAAGCTAAGAAGCAGTGATTAGGCAACAGTTTCCTTCTATAGCAAATCTGATATCCGTATGCATTAGGTGTCTTACTGGCATATCTAGTTTGGGGGAAAATGGCAGTTTGAAAAGAAATGGGGTGAGGGATCCCCATTTCATGACCTCATGGGTCCTGTTCCATGACTTCCTATATATACAACATAACAATTTAGTATTCAGCAATTGAAATATAAATAATATTAAAAGGACTTAAATATAACTTACTCATATTTTCTCATTTACATTGTTGAGGGGTCTCAATGAAACAGTGACAGATGTGGAAAGGATAAATCCATAGGTCAGTGTTCCTAGTTTCCTGTGCCTCTAGCCAGGATGGTACTTTCCTTAGTCAGAGCAATAGTCTTACACTTTAAAGTGACTTATCAGCTTTTCCTCTTTTGTTAATAAGGAGTTTGGAAAATCTTGTCAAGGGCCACTTAGTTATTGGCAATTTCTTTTTTCAAGCCAGAAACAATGCCATTAACCCAACCAAGTTATCTGGTCCAACATTTTCCCTGATCCAGAATACAATGGAACAGACAGTTTTTGGCACCAATATCCAAAGCAACATATCTATTTCCCATTAGCAAATGAAGCAATTTCTGTGAAAAAGCTGCCTCCTTCTTGTCAAATTCTTTCTCTTTTTTTTGTGGCAGGAAATCTCCAAAATTCTGTCTGCCTTTGTTGTGGCAAGATATCGCTGAAATATAGAATGAACAACTTCTTGAAATCTTTGTTACTTTCTGAATTCCTGCTTTATCTTTCCCTCATTTAAATTCAATGTATTTTTCCTTGAATACATTGTTTCTCTTTGAATTGAATAATATGCTAAATTCATATACTGTACGTTATTGTTTCATATTTAATTGTCAACTTATTGCTTACTTGCCCTTATATTTTAGTGTAAAATATTGTATTGATTGGTTATTAATTATATATACAGTATATTTTAAGTGTGAAACAAATAATAGATAATTATCTCCTGGAGAATTGAGGCTATGGGAGAATTTAGTTCAAAAAATTTGAAAGGAGGATTGAGCAAAATTACTTTTGCTTTTGATGCTTTCCATTTTTGGTTCCTGTATTGATAGCAGTGCAACATCAAATAGGATTCTGCATTACTGTGATAAAATTATCATGCATAATATTATTATAAACCCTACCATGATCTTCCAAAACATCCTAAATCTATCTTTATAGGAGAGAATGTTCCAGCTCATAGATCACATCGCCAATGTTTTCAATCATATTTTCTCAACATACATGGAGATACAGCTGAGGACCTTTAAAGCAGCTGCATGAGACTTGTAAAAGATGTGGCTGTTTTAATCAGGACTGATGCTTTAGTTTGCATTAACACACTCCTGAATTATTAACAATTAAATTAAATCCTAAACTCAGATCAGTATGTATGATAAACCACATTTACCCTTCAATGAAAACTGAATATATAACTGTTCTTTGCTTTATTTCTTAACTGGTATTGCTGTGTTCTAAGTTGCAACCTAAGATCCTAGATAGAACAATTATTTTGCCACTAGCCACTTACCTCTTCTTAAAATATAGTTGTTCATACTGGTAGGCAACTCAGTCCTTAAGATTATTACCAACTGCTTTGGCAGCTACTATGAGCAAATTCTATGATTGATCATAGAGCACTTTTAATGTATCTTCCAGTTCAATTGCTAAAAATACCAGTTCTGAGAAGAGTCTGTGCTGGATTTCTGTAGAGTCCTATTTTAACACTTGAAAAATATTATAATTAGCAATGAGATTATGTATGGATGGGGAAATAGAGAAAAGATTGTTCATTGTATGTTTCTGTTAATAGTGGAGATATAGTATTGTGAGTGACAATTAAAGCTTCCTTCCAGAAATTTTTATGTGGAGTTTGAATGGAGTGTGTGTGCGTACACAAGTGTGTATGTGTAATATTTTCTGAGTTTTCCTTCATATGGAATGGGATAATCTTTTATCTGTTTGGGGCAGATTTGGGTTTTCAAGTACATGAATGGATGTTGGTTTGTGCATGCTTTTTTCAGCACTATATTCAGAACACATACTAGCTAGTCTTACAATTATCAGGAACACTTTTTAAAAATTGGTAATAGAAATTTATTGAGATTCAAAATCGGTCTACAAAAATCTAATAAATAGTGCTTAGAATTTTTTATGCTGTCATCCATAATTGTTATACTCTAGTTCTGATAGCCTTATTATACTAGAAGTATAATTTGTTCATTTATTTATTTATTATAGGCCAGCAATGTAATATTTTGGTTGCATTACGGAATGCAACCAAAATATTACATTGCTGGTCTACCAATGTAATATGGTAGATCAGAAATGTATGCATCGAATATGATACTCAGATGTATAACATCTACATCTGCTGACTTGTTCCTTTTCACATTGCCATTAAGATCTAAAGCTTATCTTGTCATTCACATGTCATTAAGGTATAAAACTCATCTTGTCCCTATTTCCCACAGTTCATCTGACTCAACTTTGTGAAAACATCAGGTCAGGTATCCGATAATTCTGTGTCTTCCTCAGTGAACATTTTCTGTTCATCTCGCTTAAATTCTGCTTTATATATCTTTATCTCAGTCATCTGTGCACCCAGCTTTTTTTTTTTTATTGATTTATATGCCGCCCTTCTCCGGAGACTCAGGGTGGCTTACAATGCATTAAGTACTAGCCTTCATACTTTTGTATATTTTATACAAAGTCAGCTTACTGCCCCCACAATCTGGGTCCTTTTTTGCTTCTGATGTATTTGTAAATTACTGATCTTAATGCTGAACTGTATGCTGCTCAGAATCTTTTCCAAGGATTTGTTTTTATAAATTTGGGTGGCTTTGGTTCTCCCCACTAGGGCAAGTCTTCTCTAATAGCTTTCTTGACACAACTAATTATACATGTGTGTGATCTCTTGCACTAGGTTGCAATTTTACTGCCCTACAGTAGGCATTTTATCTGAGCTATTGTAGTTTTGAATAAACTCCAATCATTCTGAGTTTTTTTGAATTTCTTCCTTTTTACATTCCTCTACTGTCAAATAAATTCTCCATTTTAGCAAAATATGACTGTCCTGGACTTCTTATAGAAATTTCTTCCTTCTCTAAATATTAGGCTATGTTCTCTCTAATATTAGAGAATCAAATACATGTCACTTTCAAGATGTTTAATTTTAATAGAGTGACAAAATCAGATATTTTATCAACAGCAACGTTTTTCATCCTGATCACCTTATGATATATGGACTCCCAGAATTCCCTACCCAGCATGGCCATTGCTAAGAATTTTGGGAACTGAAGACCACACATTACCCAAGCTGGGAAATGCTGATTCCTGCTTTACAGTATTTAATCACTGCTGACTGGGGGAATCAAGTTAAGAGGCTTGAAAAATGCACTAGCATACTTGCTAAGTCATGAAAACAAGTTTCTTAGTATTTGGTTGACTGTTCTATGTGAACACAAAGGCTGAATAATTGTTTTTCCTTATTGATGCTTGTCAGCTGTCTTGATAAACATTTACTATTATGTTAAAATAGGCATATTTCATACTGGTAAGACATATTTTGCAGTTATTATGAAGCACATAAATGAAGTCACATGATAATATGTGGATACTGAATGTATCCACATATATCTTAAATTGTTGTAAATAGAGCACCTACATTTTAATGCAGTATTTAAATGAAGAATAATTTCTACAGAATATTATTATAAAATGTTGCTCTTGTCCCATTTAGCTTTGGGACTTTACTCTGAAAGTGTAGAATTGGGCAAGATTAATGAAGTTTATGATTGTGTTTAGATGCTATGAGTTTTTAAACTCTGATTATAGTCAGTGTACGATCTGAGTTATGCTTCCGATTGTATTTCAGCATTTTATTACTATGTGCAGTTTTGGAAAGATTACTGATATATTAAACTACAAATTGGGTTCATCCTGGAAACCTGACATAGTTGGTTTTGGCTAAATAAGAGTATATTAACTTCTCAATTGTTAATCAAATTGGCAAACAATAAATATACCATATCTGATCAAAAGCTGTAATATATTTTAAAATTAATTATTTTTCCTTTGCAGAAAATTCTTTGCCAAAAACAAAATTACCTGAAGACAGTGTTATGTCACCATACAATATAAACACAAACTATCCAGGGCTTACCACAGGAAATGGAATCTCAGACTCACCAGCAGGATCAAAGGAACATGGCAATGTACCCATTATTGTACCATTAATTCCACCACCTTTTATAAAGCCACCAGCAGGTAAATAATTTATTTTGTAATGTTTTGCTTTTCTTAGATAATGTTCTTAAATGTTTTAAAGTTATAAACTAAAAAGTTCAGGAGTACAGGTAGTCCTCGACTTATGAGAACAATAGAACCCAAAATTGTATTGGTCAGTTGTTAAATGAGTCACAGCCCATTTTATGACCTTTTTGCCATGGTTGTTAAGCAAATCACTGCTGTCAAGTGAATCATGTGATTTTTAAGCAAATCTGGCTTCCCCCATTAATTTGCTTGTCACAAACTCCCTAAGAAGGTCTCAAATTACAATCCCAGGACTCCGGGACTCTGCAACCATTGTAAATACATGCTATTTGCCAAATGCTTAAATTTTTATGATGTGTCTATGGGGATGCTGCAATGGTCTTAAATATGAGAACTGTTCATAAGTCACTTTTTTCAGTGCAATTGTAAGTTTGAACATCACAAAACGAATGGCTGTCAGTTGAGTAGAATATTGCAAAATCATAGTTAACAGAATTTGCTTTTGGAAAGTACTAAACTGCCCTCAGAAAGGCATGGTGCGGATGAACATCGTGGGGAGGAGAATCAGAATGTTCTGGAGTGGTTCTATTCTTCAATCAGTGAGTTTTGCATATGCCTAACGGCAAGAGATTTCAGTACAGACTGAGCACCCCAAGTGTGATCATGGGATCATGGGGAGAGGTGTCAGAATTTTAAATCAGTGTCGTATGTAGCCCTGGAGAGTCCATTGTAACTTTGAACAGTCACTAAGAGAACGGTCGTAAGTCGAGGACTGCCTGTACTTACAAAGTCAGAAGAATCCTTTTCTTTAGAACAGGGGTGGACAATGTGACCTTCAATGTCTTTCAATTACAACTGCCATGATCTACCATGCTGGCTTACTCTAAAGAGACCTGGAATTTTTCCACTGCTGTATTAACAATGTCAGGTTAAGGCTGCAGATTTATTTAAGGGCACAAATAGACCTATTACAATATCTATATTTAACAAAAAGATTTTTAAAATGTTGTGAAATAATTTAGGAACTGTATATAGCTGCAGTCCCCAACCTTTCCGGCTCTGTGGACTGGTGGCGGCAGTGGCTGCGGTGGGGAGAGAGGATGGTTTCATACACATGAGCACCACTTGTACAAATGCAGCCTTGTGTGCTCACCCACGGCTTGCATGACCCAGTTACCAACAGGCTGCAGCCCGGGACCAGGTTGTGGCCTGGGGATTGGGGACCTCTGTTTTAGGTTATAATAAAATTCAGTGTGATCTTAAGATTCAGACTTCTGACTAGAACATGGTTCCTAAAGTGTTTGCCTTCACACCTCCCTTTGGTGAAATCTTAATGTAAATACTACTCCTAAAAATCCGGAATGAATAAAATGAACAACGAGAACAATACAGGTAGCCTTCTCATAAACACCACAATAGGGACCATCAACTCTGTTGCTACGTGGTGTTTTTGTGCAAAACATGACATGACTCTGCTGGACTTACAACCTCATTTGTCCTGCTGTTAAACAAACAAAAAGTTGTTAAACAGATCACCCATGGTTGTTAAGTAAGACATCACCTAACCGCAACTTGCAATTTTACTGCCAACCGCAACTTGCAATTTTACTGCCACCTTCTCCATTGACTTTGTTTGTCGGAATCCAGCTGTGAAACATGCAAATGGCTATCACATAATCATGAAACACTACAAGAGTCCTAAATGCCTACTGGTTGTGAAGTGCTTGAATCTTAATCACATGAAAATGGGTGTGCTGTGACATAAGTGTGAGAACAAGTTATAAATGTACTTTTTCAGCATTACCATAAGTATGAATAGTTGCTAAACAAGGCAGTTGTTAAACAAAGACTACCCGTATAATGAAATTTGGGGAAAGATGGATTATTGCAGCAATGAATATCCCCTGGACTCTGTCTGCCTTCTCTAAGGGAGGTATACATCACAATTTGAGAATACTTGGTCTAGAAGGGCTGGATTTAAAATTACTAGTTCAAAGTATATATGAATGTGAGCAGCCCAGGTTTGTTTTGTTGTATAGGTAGACCTTGACTTACAACTATTAGTTCAGTTACTGTTCAAAATTATGACAGTGCTGAACAACAACTTATGACCAGTCCCTGAAGTTAGGGTTGTTGCAATACCCCTGTGATCATATGATCTTGATCTTACAGAATACAGAATAATAGAGTTGGAAGAGACCTTGGACTGGAGGTCTTTTAGTTCAACCCCCTGCTCAAGCTATACCAATTCAGACAAGTGGCTGTCCAGTCTCTTCTTAAAAGCGTCCAGTGATGAAGCACTCACAACTTCTGAAGGCAAGCCATTCTCACTGTTATGAAATTTCTCCTTAGTTCTAGGTTGCTTCTTTCCTTGATTAGTTTCCATCCCTTATTTCTTATCCTGCCTTCAGGTGCTTTGGAAAATAGGCTGACCCCCTCTTCTTTGTGGCTCCTCAGATATTGGAACACTGGTATCATGTCATGGTGCTTCTTTTCAGTACACTAGACATACCCAATTCTTTCAACCGTTCTTCATGTATTTTAGTCCAGAGTTCTCCAACTTTTCCAGTTTTGCGGACTGGCGGGGGGCAAGGGGGTTTTGCACAAGCAGTGGGCAATCACATACTCACCTGCTGCTCATGCAAATAGGTATGTGCCTGTGCATTCTCGTTTGCCATTTCTGGTTCCAAAAGACTCAAGGCTCAATAGTGGGCCACAGCCGGGGATTGGAGACCCCTGTTTTAGTCTCTAGGCCCCTAATCATCTTTGTTGCACTTTTCTGCACTTTCCCCAAAGTCTCAATATCCTTTTTATAATGTGGTGACCAAAACTCAATGAAGTATTCCAAATATGGCCTTACTAAGGTAAAGTGATACTAAGGTAAAGTGATACTAAGGTAAAGTGATGAATCTTGATGCTTGGCAACCCATTTGCATTTATGACCAGTTACCAAGCACTCTGCAATCACTTGATCACCATGCCAGTTTGTCCAGAAAATCAATGGGGGAGCCAGCAGGGAAGATTGCAAGTCATTGGGGTAAGTCTGCCACCTGCATACTTTCCCTAGCATCTTACTTTGCATTGACCTCTTGGGCACCTCCACACATGCTTCCTGAACTTCGCCTGCATCCCTGCCCTCTCCCCCCAATTCCCTCCTATCTGGCAGCAGCCACTTATCTGCCTGCCAGCCTGGGATTTGAAACTACCTGCTGGCTTCCCACTGGCTTTGATCGTGAGAATCCAGCAGGAAGTTGCCTTGCCTAACCACGGTGGGATTCAGTTAACAATGGCAACCAATTCTGAAGGGATTGTTATATGATGTGGTCATGGTTTATTACTGCATTTTTTGGCAACAAAAGTTCTGGTCCCAATTGTTGTTGTAAGTTGAGAATCACCTGTAGGAGATTCCAAATTCAAAGATATGTGGGCAAGGATCTGTAAATTATATCCCCTTATCCCCTTATTTGTGGCTTATCTCCCTGCAAGTCTCCTGGTGTCATTTTTTTCATGTTAACATTTATCTTCAGGTTTCCTTCCTTGTATTATTTTGTTTAAGGTCAGTAATGTACAAAACCATATCTTTGTCAAGGCTAGTTTAATACTATGAATAATAGAGGATGCATGAAAACAGTCGTTAATATCGGAATGGTACAGAAAAACTCTTAAATGTTGACTATGGAGGGGCATTAGAATTTTGAGAAAACACGGGGGTTTTTTAACGTTTTCGTAAAAAATAAAATCATCATTTATTATTTATACCAGGCTAATTTTACACTGGCCAGTACATTTTTGTAATGTCCGGTGTAAAATTAGTCTGGTATAAATAATAAATGTTGATTTTCATACACATGACATAAAATGATGATAGCTAAAATAGCATGTTCCTATCTCCCATTTTTATCAAATGAAATCCACAATCTAGTTTACTTGTGAAAACCTTTATATGAGAGATGTTTAATTTCTGGAAATTTTGAAGCAATATTTCCTGAGGCTTGGGGCCAAGTGAGGGATGTGGGAATTAATATACACCGTATATAAAAAGTACTTATATTACTACTTTTTACCATGGGCATTTTGGAGTGCCAAGTAGGGACAAAAGATGGAACAAATATACTGGTAGTGAGATTGTGTTGCTTGTTTTGTACATTATGTACATATAGTTAAGGGTAGAGTTTGCATTGGACATTAATTTAGTTAGTCTGATGAAAAATTGGTTTCTATGAATGGGTTTGCTTTTTATAGTTGTATAACAGTTTTATTATTTTATAAAATATTTATTTTTTCTCTAGAAAATATTAGTGTGTAAAATTGTTTATTTAGATATGTATACATTTATTTAAAACATGCTTTTAGTTTTTTTGTAAATGGAGCTTCTGCTAAACTGTTAAGGAATATAGCTTATCTATTTTTGGCTTTTTAGAAGAAACAGAAAGGCAAAAGTTGTTGCTAGATACAGAAGTCTATTGTGAAACATGCTATTCTGAACTTTGTCCTTCACTAATTTCAGGAAAAAAGATGTGGAAGAAACCCCAAGCCTCAAATACATTTTGTCACCTCAAATGTTGTCTATTCAGTCACATTTTCTGTATTTGAAATATTATCTATTATAAGTTTCCACGTCTAGTAATTCTTTATTTTTGTAATTTTATCATTTTTATGGCATTTTGAAAACTGAAGGTTTGCCTATATAGATTCATGCTTCTCTTATTCTATTTCTTTCTTCTTTTAGAAAGAAAAAGATTAGGAAGTATTACATAATCAATTTTCCTGGTTTTGGGAAAGTGAACAAAACACTCTTTCCATATTGTTCCTCTCCACTTGGTCCTTCATGCACATTTTCAAAGTACAGTATATTACACCTTTGTTTTGCTAAATGTTGCATATGCTATATGTGATAGCTGTTCTGCTTATATTTAGGCAACGTCTAGCAAATTGCATAATGTTACTGATATAATGCTTTTCCACTAATATTACTTTGGATCCATTTAGTAAGAGTCTCGCTCTAAATTTTCTATGATTTTAAAAGATAAAACCACAACCTTGAACTGAGCCCAGGTAGCAACTGGCAATTCAGGTTAAAAATATGATATGATAATAATACAGTATACAGGTTAGCAGTGCAATAACATCATTTTACACCATTCAAAGCTGTTCAAGGTTAGTCGCAAACAACATATAGTAATAGTCTAGCCATCATGTAACCAAAGCATGGTTATCTTTATACTTTTCCAACAAGCTTAGCAACTGTTTTAACGATGCAGTAAACAGCACTATTCAATTATTTGGATTTAATTTCAGCTTCTTCAAGGGTACTCAGTACTACCTCAACAACTCAACCGTACTTAGTATAGTGAGCATATTGACGACTCTTTACTGTACTGTAAAATTTTATGTGTCCTCTCTCATCAGGTTCATATATCTATTAAGGGGGCATTATCGATTGGGAGAATGCCATCATTGTTCCTGTATACAAACTGAAAGGTACCAAGAGTGAATGCAAAAAATTAGGGGGATTAATGTCTTAAGTATGCCTGAGAAGATGTTTGGCAGAATTCTGTTTGAAAGAGTATGAGACATGACAATGAATAAAACTTGGGGAATGCAGTGTGGAATTATCTGAGCGGAAGCTGTGAAGACCACTTTTTCACTCTTCAGCAGATCATTCACAAATGTATAACTGAAAGAAAAAAAGTATTGTATATTGATGTTGTTTGATACTGTATGACTGCATTTGAGAAAGAGAATAGGCTTGGATAATGGAATGTTTTGCACAAGTATGGAGTTCCTAAAGTAGATAAAAACAGTGGATGAGGGAAGTAAAGCATGCACTGGATAAATGGAATGCTTAGTAGAACATTAAACAGTGAGCAGGGAGTAGGACCAGAATGTGTGATGTTTCTCTGAATGTCTAATATACACATATTGTGGCAAGAAGATTCGTAAAATGGGGCAAACTCACTTAACACATGTTTCACTTAGCAACATAAATGTTGGGTTCAATTGTGGTCGTAACTCAAGGACTTGTATTTATGAATAAATATGTAAAGTAATTTGATTTGAGATATGAATATGCATGTACTTTTACGTATAGACAGAACCATGTTATAGGTTGAAAACACAGATGATTTGTAGTTAGTGCTAACTGAACTGTGTGAGGGAGGAACATGAATGTAAAATGAATATATCAAAACCCATAGCAGGCATATTTTGTCAGGAATTTATGTACTTGATAGAATATTTACTAAAGATGGTAAACTGGATGGAGAAGTAATAGAATGTAGACAGTATGGTTTGTAATCTGTTTTGGGATTCTGCCCATTTTGTTATAAGTTAAGAGTTTGTTATGTCCAGACAAATATAAAAGCATGTTAAATTCAGGAAAGAATAATTAAGAAATTTCTGTGATAAAAAAAGAAGAGATAAGAGTCAAGAATAAAAAGTTTGAAAAGATTTCTGAATTAATGTGGACTGACTATAAAGCGAATGACCAGTACAAAATGGTTTGGTCATATAGAGAAAACGAATAAAGACTAAATTGTAAATCCAGTTTGTGAAGAAAACATGAATGGGTTAAGAGGAAAGATAGCATTAAGAAAGTTGTGGTTGAATTGAGTTGATGAGGTCCTCAAAAGGAGAGATCTGAAAAATATTAAAGAACAAGAACTGTTTGAAGCACTGCATGGACAGAATGAAATCAAGGATCTTTACAAGGATAGGTCAGATGTGAGGGATCTGAAGCTGAAAAGGCAGGTGCTACTTTTATTAATGCCTTCTTAAAGAAGTTATATCTTTTTGCCGGGTTGTGCAGTAGCCCCATATTTCCAGGAAAATAAGCTTTTGAATTAAAAACAGAAAACCTCCTCTACTCCAAAGCTGTTCTGGAATGTACAGCTGAAGAAGGAGTGGGGGAGGGGAATCTCAGCAATTGCACCATGGTTTCTGAGGGAGGAAGCAACATGTTCCAGAGAACAGCCCAAGATAGGAGAGTGTGCAATCCTGAACTGGATGGGAGAGAGAAGAAATGTTTTAGGGTAGCCACATCCTAGAATGTTCCAGGGTAGGTCTATTAGGTTAGAAGGTTATAGCTTTAGTTTGGCAAGAATCTGTTTATTAGGTGTAAATAAATAAAAACTGGAATTATTCAGATTTTACTGTGACGTCTTTGGGCTCAGGCTTCACAAAAGCTGCTTGTTGCATCCTTTCAGAGTCTCAAAGCAAACATTAATTTCTTTGGCTTTATAATTCTTAATTGTGTGTGTGTGTGAGAGAGGGGGAAGAGAGGGGGGAGGCGGGGAGAGGGAGAGAGAATTGTATAA